CGATATCAGGGGAGACTGAGGAGTCTTCCGAAAAATACCCAAAGTGAAAGGGAGATGTATATGTATAACTATCGAGAAAATTGTATAAAAACCATGAAGTTGTTAAAATTTGCACTTTAAACCTTGTAACTCAACTGCTAACACTTAAAACAATGAAATTTGTTTCAATAACATATTAAACATCAAAACTAACTTATTTGTTTCACACGTTAAAATTGTGACCAGTATTATTTATTAAGGAGATCAAAATAGGTGATATGTCATTTTATTTATTTTAATTATTTTAATTAATAAAAACAAATAAAATTATATAAATAGTCAAAATAAATTCTAAAAATTGTAAAACAAAATCAGGAAAAGATAAAAACAAAATAAAACTTCTAAATTCAAACATTTAAAATTTAGAAATTCAAAAATAATAAACTAATAAATTTTAAATATTCAAAAATTAGAAAAATAGGAAAATTAAAAAATCTGGAAAACAAATAAAATTAAAAAATTATAACTTATCAATTTAAAAAATAAACAAGTAATAAATCAAGAAATTCTAAAAAAATGTTATATATGTTTTGGACAATTCTCTAAAATAGTCTCTTTTTAAAATTATAAAAATGTTTTCTTGATTTTTCCTGAGTTTGTATCAATTTTTAGAATTTTTATTTGATTTTTACCTAATTTTACTTATTTTTCTTAACTAAATAATTAAAATATCAAAAAAAACTGTCACGTCACCTATTTTCGACATGCTGATGAACAGTATTGATCACAATTTTAACGTGTGAAATAAGTAAATTAGTTTCGATGTTTGATATGTTATTGAAACATGTTTCACCATTTAAAGTGTTAGTATTTGAGTTACAAGGTTTAGAGGACAAAGTTTTGTCAACTTCATGGGGTTTTATACGATTTTTCCTATATTTATCATAGTTAATGTCTAATAGATATTTATCATAGTTAATGTCTAATAGAGATTTCACATGTGTGTGTCAATCTGATCTATAATTACAAAAATTATGGGATAAGATTAATTTAGTCAAGAACAAAATCTAGAGTTGACTTTGCAGTGATGGAAATCAGACTGGAAATCAATAAATATCCCATATTCTTAAGTTTATTGATTTTTTTAAATCAGTAATCATTTTTGTCTATCAGTCTATTATATTTTCCTATAGTTGAGTGTTTCTTTTTAATATATTTATTCTTATAATTTTTTTCAAAAAAAATATTAAAACTACTAATTTAGAAATTTTTAATACAAAAAATTTATATCCTTAGGTCAAAGTTATGATAACTCAAATCCAATTTGGCAAAGTCAAAATCAAAGATAAATTGGTTCGGAGTTTTGGATTTCAAGTCTAACAATGGATAACAGGAAAAATGAGGAAAAAAATAACAAACTTTAAGGATATATTTAAATTATTTTAAAATAATATTATTAAAATAAAAGATTTTAGTTATTCAAACATATCAAAACTATATAAAAAGCATATATATATATATATATATAAAGAGATTTTTCTTGATTTTAAGGTGTTTTGATGAAATATTTTAATCAAATAAAAAAAATCAGTGTTTTAATTAAAATCATGTTAAATTTTCTATAAAAAATCAAATCCACTCAAATTCTTTATTAAATACATCCCGTGAAGATCAAATCATCTATATTATTAAAACTGAAGTAGCAATGAAGATTGTTTGAAAACAAGGATAGCAATATTAAAAATGAGTATGTTTGAAAACGTTAATATCAATATAAAAAGGCTTTGATCCTAATGGATTTTTTATTAATTATATCTTATTTTGCTTAATATATATTTTTCTATTATTTACTAAATAAAAAACATTTCAATATGATAAACTTATTATGAGAAATATATGATACATATGTCAATTATATACACGTTTTACATCATACAACAAGATTTGTAAATATAATAATATGTAATTCATTATATGGTGAAACATATAAAATATAAAACACTTAAAATTAAGATTAAGGGATGTTAAATAGTTAGTAGACTTGTGAATTATGCATGTTTGATTGTGTTACGTCAATGAGAATTGATATTTAATGCATGATTAGCATATGTATTTTTGTCACAGAAATGGATTAATCTAATTGAATGAGATCTAGACTTAAAGCGCTTGTTGATTGTTTTCTTTGAGCATCTTAGATTTAACTTTGATAATCATGTATCAATTACCTTAACCGATGGATCCATCTTTATCATTTGATTGAAAAGATTGCTTGTTACTTGTTATTTAGATGATTACTTATATTCTTAGTGACTGAGATTGTCTTTGGTTGGTTTGATACCTTATATATAACATCAATATTGAGAAGCTCACTTAATCCACATCATCAAGGGTATCTAGATATGTAGATATTATTCAATAGTTATAGACTCATATTATAAATATCCACATTAATTAGTCTTAGGATTTTATATATACTAGGTGATTCTCCGGACATAAATATTTATAAATAAATATATTATAATAGGATTAATATTTGATTTTCAGTTTAAATAATTTTACAGTTTATATTAATATCTAGTCGGTTTAATTATCACTTGGTATACTGAATTGCATCTACGTCTCTGAATTCAACCATAATATTTTTTTTCCAAAAGCATTAAATTTTGATTAATTTTGTTATTTTCATTTATATTATTTTTTCTTTGATATATATAAATATATTCTAATAAGATTATGCATAACATAGTATTTTTTGAGAATCAAATAGACAAAAAAAAATAAAGTGACGCTTGATTTAAATACATGAATGATTACATTTTGAAATCCCATAGATATATGTTTCATAAAAAAAAAATAGACTGTAAAAATTAGTTATAATTATTTTATTTATTTATATGTTTTGAGGCATCTCGATATATATTTATAAAATAAATAAATATACTATAAAAATAATCTATTTTTATTTTTATTAGATCTTTAATTTTGGTGATTACAAAATTGGATTAGTTTACTTACTCATTTCTTGGGTATATTGAGTAACATATATTCCTACAGAATGAAGTATAGTTATTTTTATTCTTATAAACCAAACCGGATTGGTTTATTATCGCATTAATTTAATTTTTCATCGTAGATGTGTAAGTATATTTTCAAATATTTTTTATAATTTATTAAATGTTAATTTCCAATTTAAAAAAAAAATGATGACCGATCGGAAGGTATATAATTTCTCATTTTAATTCATAAAGAACTCAGTTTAATTTGAAGATGATAATTTTTAAATTAAAGTAGTCTGAAAAAGACTTCTTCAATGAAGTGGACTTTATTGTAAGTCTATCAAACTCTGAATCTGTGTTAAAAAAAAAAAACAAACCCTAAATCAAAAAACTCAAACCCTATAAGTTTGATTGATAACCAAAAAGGTCTCAGTTATTGTATCATAAATATGATTTAAACATTTTTATTCATAAATATGTAATTGGCAGTACGTTTTTTTACTGTTTTATTGTTTGAATAATAGTTTTAATATATGATTTACTAATTTTTTTCATTGTTTTGATTTTTATAATATATTAGATTTTATAAGTGAAAAACTAGAGCTAATTTGAAATAGTGATTTCCAATTATAGTAGACTACAAAGAACATCTACTTACTATAAGTAGACATAATTACAAGTCTATCATTCCCTAAACCACAAATTTCAACCCCTAAAAGTTTCTTCATAATCAATACGTCTCAATTATTATATCAAATATCAAGATATACAAAATATAAACTACTCAATATTCATATGTAAATTTAAGTCAATAATAACAAAAGAAATCTAAATCTAAAATCTAGCCCTAAAAGACTTCACATGTTAGAACATCATTTGCTAAACCATAAACATTGTCCAACGAAATAGACTATAAAATTAGAATATAATTATTTTATTTATTTATATGTTTTGAGGTATCTTGATATATATGTATAAAATAAATAAATATACTATAAAAGTAATTTGTTTTTATTTTAATTAGATCTTTGATTTTGGTGATTAAAAATTTGGATTAGTTTACTTACTCATTTCGTGGGTATATTGAGTAACATATATAACATATATTCCTACAGAATGAAGTATAGTTATTTAAACCAAACTGGATTGGTTTTATTTATCGGATTAATTTAATTCTTCATTGTAGATGTTTAAGTATATTTTCTAATATTTTTTATAATTTAATATATGTTAATTTTCCAAAAACAATATTAAAAAAATAAAATGATGACCGATCGGAAGGTATAAAGGGAAATAACCGCTAAAATATTGAAAGAGCTTATATAAATGTTTTCTTTAATTATATGCTACTTAATTAAAATCCAATTAACATAAATTACTAAATAAAAAATATTTAATAATGATAATTAGATGTAATATTTTTAATTTATTAAGAATATCTCTGTAATTAACCTTTATAATAATTAACGTGAATGGATATGTAGGAAACTGATTTCTCAAATAATATTATAGAAATTGCTAAGATGTCTCTTTGTATAAGTTAACATAAATAGTAAAGAAATCATTCGGATTTTAATATCTTCCACAATGATCCATCTTAATTGTTTGGCAAGGAGAACACGTCCCAGTAAAATCCTTTTCTAGCAATGTGAGTAGTTTCTTCCTAGGGAAAGCATCAAAGAATTTAGATGAACGGAAATATTTTCCCAGCAGAACCCTATATAAACTAGGTTATTCATAAACTAATTTTGGCATAAAGAGATGTGTTGAAACTTCGAATCTCTCTCATGCCAAAATCATCCACTTAATTAGTTTTCTCGAGGCGAGTCAAACGATTCTTACTAGGATTTTCATCCATCTAGAATCTTGAGAGATCTTATCATATGAAGGTATAGTCGTAAGGACGGTTTTAATAATTGCCAACTTACAGGCTGATGACAAAAAAATGTAACCATGAAATCATATTTTGTCAAATTATATTCACTATGAATGTGAATAGATCTTTCTTTCTACTTTCAAAATGTTTTGGTCCCTAGATACATTGTAACCCCTCTTTTTAATCATTCCAGAGATCTTATTCCACAGTCTTCCTTTTGTTTCTTGAGATGTCTAGCATAAGACAGTAAATCACAGAATTGCCAACTTACAAGCTGCTGACAAAATCTTGTAACCATGCAGTCACATTATATGCACTATCATTTCCGTATATTAAGATATAAATTTTAAAAGCTTATAACTTTGAGTTGACCAAAAAAAGAATTTTATAAATTTACAACTACCAACGTTGTGTTTGCTTTGTACACTTCATTTCACCGTATACTGAATACAAATAAATTAATAGATGGCCATGATATTTTTGCTTCACCTTTGCTGTCTCTTTTGATTAACAAATGGGAAAAAAAAATCAACAAGGGGTATCAATTTACATTAATGATCAACGGTCGTTATCGAAAGTATCCCCCTTTAGTCTAAACCACTGATGAAGACAAGAACTTTGCTACAAAATACATCAAACACAAGTGGTAGTAGAGCATGTGTGAAAAAATTTAAAATCCTATAATGAAAACGACAGCAAATCGAAGAAATGGTATCGTTTCCGTCTCCACAGTTCTTAAAACTTCAAAGAAAGCTTAGACAATTGCGAGTCTCAGGTTCCTTACAAGATCCTTAAGTGCACTCACTGAAAAGTCTTTCGCCATCTGCAATTAAAATTTGGGTAAATCCATCTATAATACTATAATTGTCATGATATTTGAAAAAAAAATTATTAAAAAGAGATTCCACATTAGTTATTTTTTTATTGTTAATCATGTATTTATAAATTTAGATATATTTTAGTGAATATTTTGTGATGTTTACCATTGTATACTATTTTGTGACAAAAACTTGTTATAATGCTATTTAAGAATAATTCTTTAAAATTTCAATAAGATATTTGTTATCTATATCAAGAATTAGTAATATTTCATATTAACATAAATATAGATGAGTGTTAAAATACCAATTTCGATATTCAATAAATATATATATCAATTGCAAATCAGAATTGTTATTGAAATGATTACCTGTGCAAGGACTGTGATGTCAAGAGTCGAGTCCCCAAATGGCAATACGATACTATTTTCGATGCGCAATTGAAGATTCTCGATTGTGTTTAGTATGTTTATCATGGACCCTTTGCTCTTCTCGCAGTGGATGCGGATTAAAACTTTGTTTTGGGCTACTTTAGCCTCGATTTCAGGCAACGGTTGATCAAATTGCTCATGAACTGAAGAAGATGATGGGTAAGCCTTCTCGTCGGAACACACTTTACATTTCTTGAAAAGAATCATGGATTCCATTTCTCTTGTTACTTCTTTCTCTTCCTCGAGCTTTCTTATTTGTTCTTGAAGTTGTTTCACACGTGAAATCGCATCATCAAGAACCGTAAGCTTGTCGGCCTGAAATAAAATAAGATCAATAATTATCTTAAATCAACTGACAATAACTTATAAATTTACTTCTTCACTCTATTTTAAAAATAATTAATAATATTAATACTTTAAATTTGCCATTAGATAAGTACCTTTTTAAGACCAGGTAAAAGTGCTGAGAGGCCAATAAATTTTTCCGAAAGGTTCTCACGACGCTTTCTCTCGGCTATAACATGTTCTTTGGCTAGAACCGGGGATCTTTTGGCAGGAAAACACAATTTTCTTTTGGTTCCACATCTGACCAATCGATCAATAATGATGTTTTCCGTAGCTGGAGAAGAAGAAACTTTACTAGAGAAATCAAAAGAAATCACTCGTGGCTTGTTATTGATCTTCATCGTCTCCTTTACCACAGGCTTCGGCTTCTCTTTGAGGTAATTAAGATGAACTTCATGATCAAAGTCTGATGGAAACTGAGATCTTTGTGAATGCATGATCGCTTCAACCGGTGATACATTAGTATCTTCGTAAATATTAAAGTCGAAATCAATGTCTTCGAGTGAGAAGTCGGTTAAGAAGAAGTCTTCATCCATGTCGGAATTGAACAAGACCGATGTAGAGAAATAAAATATTTCCTAATAGTTAAAGACAAGATATGTTTTGTTGTTTTTGTCCAAAAACGTTTATGAGAAGAAAGTGTTTTCAGGTGCCATACTTTATATATTGACAACGAGACGCGGCCTTGTTTTTTCTTTCTCCACTCCGTAATAACGTTGACCAGATTGGTATATAATGCATAACACGTGACATTAATGTTCTACATAAAATAATCATGATCGAACTAGAAGTCATATTATCATTGTTTGTTGGCTTCTAGAGGTCTGAGATCATCACAATGTTTGCTACGTCAACGAGTACAGAAAAACGGCACCAGAAATCTTTTAAAAAATGTTTGTACAATTTTAATAATGGATTTGTCTTTGATCTTATTCACAAATATGGACATATGCATTATGCATAACACACGTATAGATGACTCTATGATATATGTTTTCCTGATAAGAGATAATTTTTCAGCATATATTTTATAATTCTGATACTGGACCTTTTAGATATTTAGGGAAGCTCTTAAATTGTTAACTAAAACTCAAGATTTCGTTAATTTAGGCGAGGTCCATATGAACGGAGTTATAGATAAACATGTCAATTAGGATAAAGTGTTCTAGAAAGAAAAAGGATAAAGTGTAAGATCAACATTATTGCATGGTTTCTTGTGGTTGGTTCTTAATACACATATATGTGTATATATATATTATATATGTGTATATAATTGTGGGTTAAGTACTTTAACGAAACAAAAAATCTCTTATTTAAGAAATTTTCTGTTCGTTTTCCGTAAAATCCTTAACCCACAATTATATACGTATATACAATATATATATACACATATATGTGTATTAAGAACCAACCACAAGAAACCATGCAATAATATTGCCCTAAGGTCTGTATTCAGTTGACCGAGTTAATGGTAAATGTTGAAATTCTGAAGAAATATTATAAGAAAATTAGGAAGTTTTTCTATATGAAGTTATTTTATTTATTTTTTATTTTTTTTCTATCTATATGAAGTGTTTTTTCGTTCAAACTTATCTTTAATCAAACTTAAAGCATAACAGAGTCTTTAATCTCCGAGAGATTGTTCGAGAAAGTAAACAACGCATGTTTCGCGAGCTGGTCAGCCGGTGCGTTACAAGAGTGGGAGATAAATCTAAAAGAGATAGAACTGAAGGAGCTACTCAACACGCCTAGGTCATGGAGTATCCCTCGGATAGAAGTCACAGACTATGGGAACCGAAATCCACCTACTGTCAATAAATCGTAAATAAGGAAACTTCGGGAAAACCTTAAGTTTCCAGAGGAACCGGCTATCTACAGAACCACACAACGAAGATTAAGAAAAAGACGAACTTAGAATTTAAAAGAGAATAAACGAAATTGAGAGCAAAGAGGTTCTTATTCTGAATCTGCCTAAGAACTGTTACAACGAGAGTGGCCTTAGCTGCGTGAACCGTCACCGAAATCCCTAGAAGTCTACCCTAGTTGAGACGCAGCTCGCTAACAGAAAACAGAAATATTCCTAAATGCTAATTTTGGTGGTGAGAGCTCTGAAAATCGTGTGTCAGCTTCTGCCCTATGCCTCTTGCTTATATACTCCCTCTTAGGCGGTTTTAGTCTTTCCATTTTGCCCGAAACTGAGTTTATTGGGAATTTTCCATTTCTCTCGATCCTTCCTTTTCTTCCGCGGAAATCTTCTAATTATCTCCAAACTTGCCTTTTGTCTTCAAACTTGACACTTATCTTCCTTCTGCGAGTAAACCATCAAAACGTTATCGTATCCTCGGGTTCAGTTTCGTTAATATCGCGAGATGGGTTTTTATCGTGTTTTAGGACCTTTCGGACCATTTTACGATAAAATCCGTTTTATGACTTTTTACGAGACTGTTTCCTGATCCGGTGCCGTTTTTACGATTTTCTCAACGTTTTTTATTAAAAACGCGTTTTTATGATTTTAACAAAAAATATCGAATAAATCGTATAGTTTAGGCAATGTTCGGTGTTCTCGTTTAACCGTTACCGTTTTATACGATTTCCTCGAGTTCTTTCCGAGAAAACAAAGTTTTACGGTTTTAATCGTAAAACTCGAATGATAGGTCGGATCGAGATGAAATGGGAGACATCTTGAACATGGTTCGGAGTACGACCGTGTCGAAGGTCGTAAGCACTGAATCGGGGATTGAGGAGATCGAGGCTCGGGATGGTCGATGCGACGTACGGAGAACCGAGCCGGACCGGTCCGACTTGCCGGCCGGTGGACTGACCGTGAGGCTTCTAGTTCGCCCAACGGCCGTGACGAGGCTAGTTCACCCAACGGTGAACTAAGCCGGCTTGGCTTAGTTCGCCGTTGGGCGAACTAGCCGGGACGGGGCTAGTTCGCATTTTACGGCGGTTTCGATTTTTCACGGTTTTGTAAAACGATTCTTCGAGTTTTATAAAACGATTCTCGAGTTTTATAAAACGGTTCTTCGAGTTTTATAAAACGGTTCTTCGAGTTTTATAAAACGATTCTTCGAGTTTTATAAAACGATTCTCGAGTTTTATAAAACGATTCTCAAGTTTTATAAAACGATTCCCGAGTTTTATAAAATGATTCTTCGGGTTTTATAAAACGTTTTTTCGAGTTTTATAAAACGATTCTCGAGTTTTATAAAACGATTCTCGAGTTTTATGAAACAATTCTCGAGTTTTATAAAACGATTCTTCGAGTTTTATAAAACGATTCTCGAGTTTTATAAAACGATTCTCGAGTTTTATAAAATGATTCTTGAGTTTTATAAAACGATTCTTCGAGTTTTATAAAACGATTCTCGAATTTTATAAAGTGATTCTCGAGTTTCATAAAATGATTCTTCGAGTTTTATAAAACGATTCTCGAGTTTTATAAAACGATTTCTTTTATATTTCTACGGGGAATTTTGGTCATTGATTCCGTCGTACCGATTTTGACCCCAACACAGACTTGTTTCCTATGATCGCATCAATGAGACTTTTAAAATCTGAGCAACATATCAAGTCTTTACAACCGGAACAGATCAAGTCTTTACAACCGGAGGAACTGGCCTTTGTTAGACCAGCTTTCATCGCTAGAGCTTCTCCTGCAACAGCAGAAGCCATAAAGCGCCGAGCCTCTGTTCCTTGGAAAGTCGTGGTTCCCGCTGCATCTTTGCAAATACAGCCAAGACCACCTGCAAACGATTGACCATTCCAAGCACCATCCGTACAAAGCATAAAAACGTTTGCTGGAACCTGAGGTAATAAATTCGAGTTTTGACAGTCTTTAGGTGAAACAGAGCACTGTTCTTGAGAAGGCAGTGATGACTGCCACTCTTTTGCCGCTTTGATCGCCTATTAACCATTTCTGTTTCCGAGAAAGACTTATCTTCGAATCTTAGTTGATTCCTGCTAGTCCACAACACCCAAAAGATCCAGGGATAGAGGGGAGTTCGCAGGCCGGTGGGTGGTAAGTTTGTAATCCGCTCAGATGCCTTCAGGAGGTCTTCCATTGAGTTGCAGAAGCTTCGTGTTGTGATCATTAAACTTGGAACCAGTTCCCAGATCTTCAGAGCTATTGGGCAAGTGTACATAACATGAAAATAGTTTCAGGATCTCCACATCTTTTACACTTCCCATATATTTGGATACCTCACTTTACCAGTGCTTCCCCAAAAGCCAGAGCATTGTTCTTTAATTTCCATAAAAAGTGGCGCAATTTAGGAGAGCACTGGACATTCCACACATATTGTTTCCAATTAAAGCTGTCATGTTGGTTGCCAATGTGGATTTTTGCTAAGGCATATCCAGACTTTGTTGAGTAAGTCCCTGACTTCTCTTTTAACCAAATAATCTCATCTTCTAGTTGGTTCTCACCAAGAACTATCTTCTTGATGTGAGCTTCATAGGTAGGGATTTTGTGCCGGATCTCCGCTACATTCCAATCAGAGGAGTCAGGGAGCATGAGATCACTAACCCTTAGATTCGTGCACATTCTGCAGGAGGTTCGATGGGGCAGCTCTGCGCATCCGTCGCCAACCAGTTATCTCCCCAGACATTTATCGACCTTCCATTCTCAACATTCCAACCCATTCCTTTTTTAATTATTTTCCGTCCTGCCAGGATCTCTCTCCAGCCATGAGAGGAAGCATTAGGAGCTGAGCAAGTAAGAATGTCAGAGTCGTGGCAATATTTATTGAGCAGGATCCTCCCTAGTAAGGAGAAAGGGTTTTTCAAGACGCGCCAAGTGTGTTTTGCAAGGAGCGCATCATTGAACACTTCGATTTCCCTTAAGCCAATACCCCCTACGCTTTTAGGATGCGTCAACTTGTTCCACGAAATTCAGCTCATCTTCCTCTGTTCAGGTTTAACGTCTCACCAGAACCGGGTGAGAACCGTCTGAATCTGCTTACAAAGGGAGATCGGGAGCTTGAAACATGAAATCGTATAGGTGGGCATTGTTGCTAGCACTGCTTTCAAGAGGACCATCTTTCCTGCTCCCGATAAATATTTGTTTGTCCAGCTTTGAGCGCGCTGCCATATCCTGTCAATAATATACGAGAAGATGTCCCACTTTTTCCGTCCAAAATGCACCGGCAAGCCGAGGTATTTCCTATACCTCCCTCATTACAGATGTTCATCTCTCTTTTCACCCGAGTTTTACACTCTTGATTAGTCTTTGCCGAGAAGGTGATTGCATATTTTCCCCTGTTTATACACTGCCCCGACGCCAGCTCATACTTTCTCAGAATAGAGAGCAGAGTAGCACAACTAGCTGCGTTCGATCTCCCGAAGAACATGGTATCATTGGCGAACAACAAGTGTTTGATAGGAAAGCAGTGTCGGCCCACTTTTACTCCCGGCAGTGTACCATTTTCCAGAGCGTTGTTACACAGGCCCGAGAGCACCTCTTTACATAGAATGAAAAAAAGGGAGAGAGCGGGTCCCCCTGCCGTAATCCGCAGGGAAAAATATTTCCTTCCGGGCCTCCATTGATCAGGAAAGAATAAGAGACTGAGGAGACGCACTCCATGACCCAGGAGGTCCAGGTCTCGTGAAATCC